CACATCGAGCAATCGGCGTTGTTGGATGTGATAGTGTTAACGTATGTCTATTGTGAGAAACTCAGAAGGGATGCAGAGAGAGGAGCCTCGCAGGACGTCCGGTGGAACTTTTGAATCTCACTCCACGTTAATTTGTCGTCACATCGCACCTATTGTGCAATCCCTTCTTCACGTCTTCCTTGGAGGCTTTGAGCACTGAACCTGCCTTTTGGACTGTACCCTGACCTGCGTTGGTTTGGGTTGGTTAAACAGCCTCGGACGAGATAGCGGAAACCCACGGACTTTGAATTGAACTTGTAAACCTGCCAAAGAAAAGCGGGCCCCTAACTACGTTGAACAGAGGGAGGTGGGGGCAAGGTCATTAACTTATCACCGACCCGAATGTACACTACACACGTCAGAAATAAGATTTGTAACCGAAAGCTTAACACAACTGTACAAGTTCAAAGCCTCCGCTTCCTTTAGCCACTACGAAGCGACCCATTCCCTCGTCAAAATCCACCTTGTCTCCATTCACGCCGCTATCCCCGCCAGCTTCGTCCATCTGATATAAAGCCTTACCTGTCTCAAAAACAGGTCCAATTTGCATCTCGTATGGTGGAAGGAAGAGCAGGCCTGGCCCACAGAGCCTCAGCTCCCTGCCCAAGACGCATATCCCACGACCCGAGGGCCCAAGACAAAGGTCTGTACATGTCTGGGTAGCACGTACGGCCGCCGTGTCCCTCAGTATCCCAGGGACATATGGAGACAGCCGTATCAAGCGGTACGGGAACACTGTAGTTTCGTCGTTATCTTCGGTAAGAGGCGCCAACATTGACATCAGCACTCTGCCGGCCTTGCTCTTTGGGCGCGCTACGATCGTGAGAGAGGGCGGGATGATTGAAGGGGATTGATGCAGCTGGGCGGGCACTCCAGGTAAGCTGCGTGCAACACAGGTGGTGAAAGCGACGGGTCGACTGATTGGCTCTTGGAACATAAAGACTCGCTTATGTTCAATAATCGCTTGGCCTTGCGCGGGAATTTGGGGAATTGGGAAGACGCTCATGCAATACTCCCATGCAACAAGTATATGATCTGAGAATAGGACGAAGTTGACGAAGCTACCAAACTGTGTGGCAAACACATGATTCAGTATTTGGTGACTCTGCCCATACCGGTCCGTTCCACTTACGAGGTCGGGAAGACAAGGAAGAAGAGCCGTGCCGGTGGTCTGCGCATGCCAGTCCAGAAGCTCAAGGCCTCCACCGCCGGGCTCACCGGTTGTGTCAAGTAAGAGGAGATGGTGAGATATCCCGGCTACGATCCCTGGCGCGAGGGAGTAATCACAGAGTGTCGTGAAGGGAGACTTCGTGGACACCGAGAGGACTTTGACAAAACTGTTGGGCCTAATAAAGTTAGTAGGGTTGCTCGTCGATGAGGAAAATGGCACCTACTGGTCTTTTGGTCCGACAGCGATAATTCCCGGGTTTTCGCAGTCCTTCACGACCTTGCAGGCTGGTCCCACAGAAGCGACCCACTCAGAGACTTTTCTGAGTCCTTGAAGCAGGCCAGGGCGACTGGTGACAAGCCAATGGACGAGTTTATTGTTCTGAACGGTTAAAAATTCTGTGCCTCCCGGAATAAATACTACTTGGTCTACTCTGTCGCCCCGTTGTCTGGAAGCGATGATGGCAGGGGAAAGGCGAGGCCAGCGATTTTCCAGATGAAGTGCACGTAATGTGCGATTCTCAAGGTCAGTCGAAGAAAGAAGCGATAAGGGACACGACGGTCCCGGAGGCGGCAGGTTCCCGGCCAAAACTTCAGTGCAGAACTTTGCATACCAGACGCAGCGTATTTTACCAAGAAGATAGTATCGTCGAGAAGTCTATCAAGGCCCTAGTTAGCATGGGGCTATCTCATGTCACTGATTTACTTACCTGTCTGAGCAACAAGATTCCAGGAACAGATAATATCTGTAGCACCTGTATCACAATGTCGTCCACGAGCTTGTCCAAGCTAGCTGTGTCGTGCATGATGAAAGAGTGGAGGAATATCAGGTGAAAACGCCACGACGACGTTTTACGACAACCGGGTTCACCCACGAGAAGGTGCGCCAAATATACGCGTGGTACTTCAGTCACAAGCACAGGGGCTGAGTGGTATATATTGGTTAGAGACATAATTCGTGCGCTCGATGGGGAACCCCTCCAGCTGATATCATGGGGCTCAACGGATTAGGTTGCCCTCCTACATTGTGAATCGGACTGGTGAGCGCAATTGGGTGAGCGTCACTCGAAGTCTCTGCACTGGCCGTTCCCGAGATCCGATCCGGTTCCCGAGCGAAGTGTTTGACTTCACGTGACCGCGTCGTATCTTGTTACAGTAACAGAGGGGGAGGTGGTGGTAGTCGGCCAGAGACTGTTCGCTGATTAGACATCTGGGCCCGATAGAAACGACAAGCTCGATCGAGGGTGCAAATCCGACCAGCATTGAAAACTTCGCATGTGATGACGTGGATAGGACTTAACACGCTGCCTGAGTACCTGTCTACTGGATTTAAGCTGCCTGAAAAGAACATGGCGGCGGAGATATGGATCAGGCAGCGAGAACGCCCAACCCAAACAGCAAATAGCAGAAAACACACCTATCTCTCGTTTAAGCACAGCTGCGTAGTATCAGTCACACGAACTGGACTTCGCTTACCTTCGTCCAGGGCGATGATGGTGCTTTGTATAGTACATAAGACTAACGCATGTCGCACTGTGTCCGCACCTTCTCAGCCATCCAGGCCACCTTGAAAAGACAGATTAGTCTTTGCTCCCCGCGGCGACAGGAAGAAGAATGCAAGACCGACCTATGTCCACCAAGTCGTATGTATACGCCTGGATTTTATTTCCCTCGAGAAGCCTCCCGCTGTCAAGACACCAACAAATCCCGAGGGATTTCCAGGCCTGTGAATCAATGAAGTGTCACAGATAGCCAAGATCCGTATCAACCAAAGAAGCGCATTTAGCCTTCACGAGGATGTCGACTGTCTGACAGGTGACGTATGTAGTGGGCAAGGCCTAGGGCGATTGTCCTGAACTGGAATCACCTGAAAGTTAGCAAGCTAAGTAGTGACTGGCTTGGAGTAAAGGCCCTATTCACGTGAGCATATATAGCCTGCTGTACCTGCTGATCTGTGTTTGAGAACAGATTAGTGTCGGACAAGGCGACAATGAGAATTTTGCAGCTTTTTACGTGTAGAGTCTTGAAATTGCACAGCACCCTGTTATATTGACAGAGTTCAGAACACCGCATGTTCCACCGTACCACTTCGAGAAGGCAACGATAAGTACATTGTCTGTCGGTGCCCAGAACCCCAGGGTCAACAAGTTCCAAGCCTCGAAGGTGTGATTGGCATGCCAGAAAGCTCTGGCCCCTGCTAGGGAAGTGGGGTGGTTCGAGGAGGCTTTACCCCGGAGCTAGTAGTTAGAGGGATACCTTTCCCTCGTGAGTTCATATAAGTAAAATCGCTCTAAATGCAAAGTTGCTGGGAGGTCCGGGTGAACGTTCAATACAAAACCTTAAGTATAGCTTTAGGTCGTAGGGCCTTGATCAAACGGACGAAGGTCACAGTAGACTGTAGTCACCGAGATACTTGCGTGTCGGGCCCGGTGGTATTCCCCGCAGAGATGTGGCGCCACTCTACGCAAGACCAAATGCGAGAGCCCCAAGTCCCACAGATTTTCTTGCTAAAAGTGGTACCAGGTACGATGTGGGGTGAGAACTGAAACATTATAGGTCAGCATTTAAACTGAAGTACTGAATGGAAATATTTATGTAGC